GTTAGGTGGTTATCGAGATATCTTCGTTCAAAGTTTTGGTGCAGCTTTTATTTTGACAGGGTGAAATCCGCGCTGCGCGGATTTTACTAATTGGCAGCGCGGGTTTCACCCTGTCGTATTATTATTCATTGAAAAGATTATTTTGCAAATTAGAACTTATTATTCTGGTTTTAATTTATTTAGATAGTAAATCCATACCTGTCTTTTCAACACCACCATCAATATTATTTTGTGATTTACACTTGATGCCGGGGGAGACTCGAACTTGTAATACTTGATATTTATTTTATTTTTTTTCGAGTCTATTTAATTGAATCTATTAAAATAAGTGTTTTTTTTGTTTATGGCTAGACACATATGAGGCTAGGCTACCGACAGATTTACCCCCGACACACCGTGGTAAAGCAATTCGATTTAATTATAATTTGATAATAGGAACTCATCGAGGCGGGTTGAATCAACAATCACATATAGTTCAGTTACCTTTCCGTGTATTTAACTTTGTTTCTGGTAAATTGATATTAAAATTTAGTACTCATAATGTTGGAGAAGAATTTATCATAAGCTATTGTTTTCTTGTGTGATTTAGATGATGGTTCGAGGCCAGTTTATGATTTGATGAATCCAGTTATTATTTATAAAGATGAAGCTGTGATAAAATGTAAAGAAGATAATCCGAGGCGACCATCAATAGTAAAAAAGCGAGGTTATTATCATTAGTATTTCTAAAGTTTTTTTTTCATTCATTTTATTTCAAGTTTTCATTGCTTACGAACGTATATCAATTTAGACAATAAGCGTGAAGAATTCATAGATTATGTGACAAAGCTTGCTCAAAGCTCCGAAGATGTGCATTTAGACATGGACATGGACAATAAAAGTGATGGAAAGGGAGATAGTGATAATTATGTTTTTGTAGAGAAGGATGTAAGCTCTCTTACCAACACAGCAAATGTTGTATCAAATAACGCACGGAAAGGTACTTGCTGATACAAGTATATAATATTATACGCGCCTACACATATTGATTACATTTATTTCGTTTGAATTTTTTAGTAAATTATGATATTTGTAAAAATAATCAGCGAGTGGCACAATTATGTCTTTTAAGGACATTGTATCGGTTGGGAGACATTGTGATGGGGACACTAAATTTCAATGATGCTATTATACCTAGTTATCAGGTTTGAAATTTCAGCAATTTTTTTAATATCCTTAAGAAAGAACTTTTTTGAATTCAACAATAAAATTTTATGACAGGTATCTATAACATTGGAGAATAGTGAATTGATTGAATCATCTATAGCTAATCGCACACAGCAGCAAATATCGCGTTTGACACGCAAAATACATGGCGAACATCATGAATTTTGTCTTAATGCATCACGTATAAGTTTCTCTATTCCTATACCGACCAATAGCACACCAGATTTTGCGACTACAGGGGGTAAATAATCAGGATTCATTTTAATAATCATTACTCATTACTAATTTATTTTTCTCCCTTTACAGTGAAACTTCAATGGAGTTTACGATTAGAATTTATTACTGGAACTAAGAATGATTATCCGTTAATGCCGCTTAATGCGGATGAACGTCATCATTATTATCAAGCAATCGAAGATGTTAATGTTGAAACCTTTGATTGTTCCATTCCAATTAAAGTATATCCTACATCATGTGAATCAGCACGGACATTTCCTTCTCAACATACTTTTCGTGTATCATAATGTACTTTTGGATTAATAATATTTAATTTTAGTTTTGATAATATTTGTACGTATGTATCTTGAGACAATGCTCAAGGGGGTATATATTCAAGACTTAGAATTATTCAGGAAACATTCTTTCTAATTTTCATATATATAAAAATAACAATACAAAATATTTATTACAATAAATTTACGACTTTTAATTCAAAAAATTGACAATAATACTATTTGTAGAAGAAGGAATTCAAGTAATACTCCAATATTAGACTGTTAGGAACGCGAAGTTTTACATTCAAAAAACCAAGTATTATGTCAATCAAATCTTTCAATTTGAGATCATTTATATGCAAATAAATCAATCTTATTGAATTCATCTGTCGCGTAAATAATGAAAAGATTGTTAATAATCTAAATATAAATGTTGATAATAATTTAAAAATATTCCCGACTACATATAATATAGTTCATATTTTGCAATTCGGTATTGATATTGAAAAATATACAAAGCTTTTTCTTTTTTTTTTTTTTTTTTAGGGGGCAAAAAAAAAAAAAAAAGAAAAAAAAAAAAAAAGATGCCAAAAACTAATTCAACCCTTGAATGATTTTCTTTGTCGTAACACGGTCGACGTGAAGCAAATTTTTAAGTAAACTCTAAAAAAAAAAACAAATCCAAAAAAAAAAAAAAAAAGAATGAAGGAATGAAACAAAGGAGTAAAAAAATAATAAGAATACAAAATTTCACAAATATTGACATTGATAAAATATAATAATTTATAGACCAAGCATTCATTTAAAGGGTCATAATGTTGAAAATATTTGATGAAATGAAAAATAATCATATTCAGAAAAGTATTATTGGATGAAATCACTAATTCATATATTGTCCATTAATATTTTTGTAAACTTCCAGAGAATGAAATTTCTTGCTGTGACATATCACCATTTGATCTATTGCCATCATCATCATCAGAATTTGAAGCAGGCTGTAGCATTGGAGCTGGTCTTGCACCCCGTAAAGATCTCGGTAAGAAGTAAGTAGCATAGCCCAGTATAGTGAATGCAATGTTAAATGGTAAGAACATAAATTGCATCATATTACGTGGAACACTAATTTGTTCATCTTGTAATTTGTAAGAAATAATCGTGTCAAATTCTCGAAGTTTAGATTCTAAATAAGCAAATCTTTCTTCTGAATAATTTCGGAGATATTGTTCTTTTTTCTCATATCTTCTTACTGCTTTGTTTAACTGTGTTATTGTTGGTTCAAATCCATCGCGTACATTTATAACGTCGCGTTTTGTTGCAAAACCACGACGTAATTGTGAAAATTCATATTCCAAATGTTGTACACGTCGTTTCAATAATTCTACTTCAGTACTAGGGTAATGAACTTGTTCTTGTAAATGTAAAGTTCGATTTTTAGCGAGGTTAGCAATGTGCATCAAAGGACGAATTCCAGCTGCAAATACGAACAACATAATATTGAAATGGGAGATGTATTTATCATAATCAGTCAAGTACATTTTTGCACCGTGCAAAGCATAACCACCAATTATTGGTGATGCAACCACAAGTAACAATGCCCACATTTCTTGTATACGAAGTTCTTTTGCAGCTTGGTTTCGCTGAGCTTCTTGAGCCGGATCTGCAGTCTGGCCTGGAAGATTTTCGTTTATAACACGTCTTGATCTAGCAGCATAATAGAGTTCCCATGGGACTAGAAATAAATAATTAATAATTTATAAAAATTATTAAAATTATTAAAATTAAAAGTTATCAATGATCCTACATCAAACTTTTAACCACTAAAAAAATTTTTTTTTTTTTATAATATATTGATCATTATTAATAAAAATTACCTTTAATAATATTATATAGGTAAAAAGCAATCAAGAGTAACAAGAGAAAGTCGCTCCAAACATCAGATTTACCATAAATAAGTGCACCCATAGGTGGCACTACGGCAAAGACAATTGGCCAAATATGTGTATGAGTAGAAAAAGATTCTGAAGTTGGATCTCTTATGAGTTCAGGTGGACTAGTGGAAATCTCGGGATCATTTCTTTCTTTATATGATCTTCTTTCACCTCGCGTTCCGTTCATACTGTTCGTTGAAGTAGAAGAGCCTGAAGAACTAGGCGAGTTCGAACCACTATTTATATTTCCAACGGTGGTGCCATTGTTGATAACAAGATGTGCAGGAGTCGAACCGTTCGTCATACTAACCACTGAAGGAGTTGAGCCGTTGTGTGACATAGGCAAGGACATATCAGAAGCGTCTCCGAAGCCGTTCAAGTGTTCAGAACTAGCTTTTGTTTTTGGTTTCCTTGCTCTTAATTGTTGCTTCTCTTGACCCACAGTATCTGGGTGAAAATTAAAACCTGAACTAGAGGTAGCGGTCGGAGTGGGAGGTTGTGTATTTTGACTAAGTAACTTTTGAGAAGCTGCGATTAATTCCTGAATACGAAGGTCGTCGTTCTTTTCAATAGAAGTCTGTGTCGTTTCCGTAAATGTCATTTATGTATATCTAAATTTGTATTTTATTTTATGCGTCCGCGTTCTGTCGTTTTAATCTCGTATTAACAATTATTAAAGCTATCTCTATACAAAAAAAAAATGAATGTAATTAGACTTTGGATTCGCTGTAAAATCGGTTTTAAAAGCTGAAATGATGAAAAAAAAGAAAAAATCAACATACTCGTTATTTCAATTCTCTGGATAAACCATTGAATCTAAAGAAAGTGATAATAATGCTTATCTTAAAGGAATAGGGGAACTATAGTTTCAAAATCTTTTTTTTTTTTTTTTTTGTTACGTACGTATGTAGATATATTCTGATAATGAATTTGGGTACGATATACAACTTTTATAGTAAAACATATAAAATGCTTTTAACCATTATTATCCCGTGCAAATCATAATTTTTAAATGTTTTAACATACAAGGCAGACCTTTTTTTTTTTTTTTACGGGAATAACGTATATATATATTTAACTTATCGTCATAATCGTCATAACGAAGAATTAAATTTTTAAACTCTACTTGCATAATATGTAATGAAGTGAACTAGCCATTTTTTCTTTGCATTGATTATCAATAACCCTAATTCTATTATAATAGTAAATCTTAGCTGTTATTTGATAATTTACAATTTTGATAATGTTCGATTCAAGATCTACATATTCTTTGTTATTACAGTATTACTGTGTGATCACATTAAGTTTGACTCCTCTCACAATAAACACCCCCCGGCTCCCGCCACTCTACGTACGTGAGTATATAAAATAGTCTGCATAATTCACGTCAATTAAAATTCTGTTCGGCCTATTGCACGAGTGCATTAAAAAAAATATCCATGTGAATTCTTATCTAACGAAAAGTCGCGTCAACGTGTAGATTTAGATTTAGATTTAGGTTCGTACGTGTCACCAGCACTCTAAATAATTTAAACACTACTGCGGTCTAAGTTTACATATTCTTTAATTTTATTTCAGTGTAACTTGCAAATCTCTGCTTTTTGAAATTAACATGTGAAATTTATATTCTTTAACGTTAAACAACGCATTCATATTTCACCGAAAACACACAGTCCTTTGATTATAAAACTTTCCATGCTAAAAAGACACTTTTATTTTCACAATTGCCTTTGGTGGTTCCATTATAAAACTTATTAATTTGTCAGGGTTTTATTTACGTGTTATTAATTTGACAGAATGATTATATATATATAAACATTTGTAGTATCATGTGAATTTGGATTATTCGGCGCATTTATTTATATGCCAAAATAAATCGCTCCGAACTCCAATATACTAAACTAAAATTTTTTGAGGGAAATTTTTCACTAAAGTAACACTATGCATAAACAATAAATGATTCTTGATATTTTTATGGTTTATCTTATGTGCTAAGTGGTGTAAAATACAATTTGGGTAATTTTACGTATTCTGTATATCAATATGTCCCATTTTCCTAGTTATTAGATTATAAAATAATTTTTGCTTCTCATGAAGGTAAATTCGAATTTTTATATATCTTTGGACAATATTTGTTAAAAAAAATCTTTTGCATAAAATGTTAAAAAAAAAGAATTTCGAACTTGTAAAAATTTCCCAGTTGGGCCGAGACCATGAAATTAAAGTTTATGCGTATAATCTTACTAAAGTTATATATATATATATATATACGTATATGTAGCATATACTGTATATATATGTAGTATATTTTTTGCATATGCTTAACATTAACGTTAATACGTATAATTTAATACAGTATCAATTAACCCAATATTTATTAGTTTAAAAAATTTAAATATGAATTAGCTTTGTTAAAGGTGATCGTTATACTGGTTATATAATTAATCAATTACGGAATCTTTTGTAAAACAAGAGCGAAGTTATAATTCTTAAAATTTTATTATTTGCCAACAACCTTTTAGGCACTAAATTTTACGCGTTAGATGGCTTTGCACGTGATTACATCTATGCAGATCAGCCAAAATTAGCCAAACTATGGAACGGAGTCACGAGGCATCCATTTGTCACGAGATCATGACTCAGACCCAGATCATGACATCAGATGAGCGAGGGTAAGCGATGATGAAATGGGTGATTAGTAAGTAATGATGTATTGGGTGATTGATGTCGAGTTTGATAGAATAAGTGATGGTAAGTATGAGATCATAGTATATAGTTATTTTTGTCTTTGCTGCTAGTTAACGAAAGTCTAGCTTTGTCATCGGTACCCACGAATCCTGAGAAAGAATGTTTTAGTTAGGGGTATGGGTTGTAGCCTGGGCAGGCAACCCGGATATCAGATAAGGAGATCGGGAGCGTCTCCGGACACTTACCATTTCACATGAATTTGTACTTACCGAAATCATGTGATTGAAGTACGTACGTACATAATGGATAGCAATAATACTAATCAGTAATAGAGGTTATATTGGCTCTAACATAAAATTTTATTCAAAATCTGCAACTCTGATTGGTTGAACCTTATTTTGACTAATTAGAGTTGTAGAAAAGTGGATAATACAGCAATATAACCTCTGCTTGCATTGTTCAGGTTCTATCCTAGCTAAGGTTCGAGGCATGGTTAAAAAATTAGGCATGCCTTTATGGGCATGCCTTGAGTTAAGGCATGCCCTATATGCCCATAGGCATG